CTCAGTTCTTTCTCTCCCTGTCTGCCGTCCCTGTGTCTATTGCCAAGATGAGACTCCCAACGTGATCAGTAGGCAACCAACATACCACTAATTAGGACACACAAGGTATAGCAGAGGATGATTAGCTCATGATGAGCACATGCTGCCTTGAGTTGCCTTGTTACCATTATAAATAGATTAGAAATCTGGGGAGCATCTGTATTTTCCCCTCACAGAGGAGAATCTGATATTGACATGTTGAAATGAGAATGTGTCAAGTAGAGCTTTCTAATTGACAGAGATTAACTTTATTTCTGCAGATCTATCTTTGCCTTTTTCCCCACTTGGTGCTCCTCCCTTGAAAAGTTCCAGCTGCCAATGGAAGGAACCCAGCAATCTTCTAATTGAACCATAATATTTTGGAAGGACAGTATAAGAAAACCATTCTAGCACTCCAGGGACCAGGTGTGCTGTTTATGAAGACATAATTACGCACTTCTCAGGTGATTCTACCCAGAAACCACACACACACACACACACACACACACACACACACACACACATTCTGGTGACAAGGGAGGCAATTCTTTTCTCTCTGCTGCTCCAGTGGCCTCTTTTGTCTTTCCACTGGCCATTGCTGGGCAGACTGTTCACTGCAATCAGTTTCTGGGACACTGACAATTGTAATTATTCGTAAGAGTAAGAAACAAAAGATACTGCATCACAAAAATCTTGTTAGAGAAGATCCCCTCCCAGAAGAGTCAGGCCTCAAATCCCGACCTCCAGTTAAGAGGAAGGTACCCTGTAGCCATATCATCAGCACCACACCAGGGCCTAAAATGGTACAGTCCTACAAATCAGTATTTTATTGTATTAATTTTCCATATGTATGGAGAAAGGGAACTATGGTAGTGATTCTTAGAGCCAAGGCTTTGAGGGTCCCCAGGCCTTGGGACTGCAGACATTGTCAGAAAACCTTTGAGTGAGAAGGGATGGTAAACAAGAAGGGAATTGTATTACAAAAGCCTGGTCTCAGATTCATGAGGCAAGGTCAAGGTGACTTTGCCCCACTGGCATGGATATCTTTGGGGTACCCCACAGAGTAAGAGTGAGCATGTTTTAGAACCTCAGAGCCTCCAGAATTTCATTTTATCATAGACTCATGACATCCCTGGGGGTGGGGGGGGCATCTTGTCGCTTCCATATAATACAAGCAAAATTAGATCAGTTACACTGGGAAAGTGATAAAAACAAACGACTTTAGGGATCAATGTGAACAGTATATTTTACCATTCTTTTTTCTGTTTTGAGGAGCTGGCGTGTTTCTCTAGATAATTCTTAATTTTCACCCCTGTGGTACAGTCGAAATGAGAGACAGGTTAGATTTTCAACTTGAGGTCAGATGCTATATTATATGAATGAGTATTTAGTGCAATGGGATGGGATTTTCAGAATTCATTTATTATTTCTATGTGCTTATCCAAATTGTCTCATTCAATTTGAGTTCTACCTTGTGAAAAAAAGTCATTATCTACAGTTTATAAATAGAAAAATTGGACCATGATTATGTCATTTGTTCCCCCTCAAGGACTCAATTGCAAAATGACACTTCCATGTTCTAGACAGACTTTTAGTTTCCAAGGGAATTTAACCCCACCTGAGAGTCTCTCTGCCTTTTTTGGATCCAATATTCCATTATAACCCTTCTAAAATGAACACGTACACCCTCATGATACGTGATCTGAAAACAGAAGACAAGACTATTATCGAGAATGTTCTACTTCTATGAGAACAAAACAAAACAAAACAGTAGGTGAGCTAACTTAAAGGGCATCAGATAGATTAGACCTTTATGTGCCATGGGTGGGCTGCCTCTGGTCTCTTCTTGCAGCACTGTGAAAGCAGACAAGAGCATTAGGCAGGATCTGGTGCATGTGAGGATGTAATATCCCAATGTGTATATTATCTCTCTGGCCTTCTTCCCTACAAATAGGGCCAACCTCTTTAAAAGACAAGCAGCAGGCATGTGAGGTTGAGGCCAAGTAGCCTTCTGTTGAGCAGCCTTATTTCAACTCAGTAGGGGAACCAAGGGCATCTGGCCACAGGTTGCTAAACAATTGGATTAGAAGGGCAATGGCATGGGGAGAGCTTTGAGCCACTGAATGATGAGCTTACACAGGAAGTTTCCTCCTAAACCTTTCTGGACATTGTAAATACGGGAGCCGTTATGAGCATACAGTCAGATTCTCTGGTGCTACCCATAGACTGCAGTACTTAAAACACAGTTTTGCATTTTTCAAGTAGGTATGTGGAAGATCTAACTTGGCAATATTAGAAAGATGACATGGACTCTAGGTCTGCAGTGAGTTTGTGTAGTATTAGGGCAGTCACATTCCCATCTACAGTGCTGAGAGTTCTCAGTACTTCTGACATTGGAAATATGCTTTTCCTACTCCTGGGAATCAACATATCAGTAACCAGGCCATGAAGTAGTTCTTTGTTTTTCTGGTTTTTCTTAATGAATAAGGAACCTGTGGTTTGGAATAGGCTGCTGAATTTCAGAGATCTTTTAACTTGTGCTCAATATTCTTTTAAAGGAGGAATCCATTGCCAACTTAACTTGAGATATGATCTTACCCAAGATAAGATACTGGATGACTCTCAAAATGGTAGCTTTTACCCAACAAAAAAGGAACAAATCTGGAAGCGGTTCTTACATCTGTAGATTAAGGTTCTTGTGTCATGGAAACAGGAGCCAGGGGCAGTGGCTTCTCAATCGCTATTTCTGAGCTATTTTGGTGACAGATGAAGTGGTGATTCACAAATTTCCATTTACACAAGGATCCTGAGAGAATCTGTGGGTGGAGCTGACAGCTGGGCTCCTGCCCCACACTGCAGAACATGCATAGCTGTCAGGTCTATAATAGCTTTAGAGAATGCCATTCTGATACAAAGAGATTTCTCACTAGTGCAAACCCTGCACAGAAATAGCTACAAAGCCAAGCATGCTCTCTGTCCTCTGCCTTTCCCTCAGTCTACTACTGGGAAATCTGACAGATTCATGCCACTGCTAATTACAGAGTCTCTGCATTGTTAGTCATGACTTAAACCAAATGGTGCAGATAACTCAAACTGTTCTACTGCTTTTATTTCACTGTGGTTCTTTTTGAATCTGGTGGAGCAATTTCATTAACCCAGACATAAAATTAACAGGAATATTAAGATCCCAGTGTGAAGCAACACCTTTGCATTGCGATGGGACTATTGGATACTTTATATTAGAAGTTGTAAATTGAAAATTCATTAAAGAACTATAACCATTGAGTTATAAGCTGTCAGACTGAAGAAGCCCACTATTTCTCACAGAGATTCCTCAATAACACTTTCAGGAACCTATATTTCATAACAACTGGTAGGGTTGGTCATGTAACTTGGTGAAAGGTCAAACACTTATGTAGCATGTGTGAGGCTCCTAGGTTCAACCAACATGGCTGCAAAGAACCGAAAAGCTGAATGTAACTCAAGAAAAGTTATAACAAGAATCAAAACAAAAAAACACCTTTGCTTAATCCCTTATCTTCAATTTGAGTTGAGGAAACACAATTTGAGAATAGTTGGTTAGTTTTCAAAATGTAGGAATAAATTATTAACCAAATCTTTCTGGTTTCTTGAGTTTCTAGGACCTATAAAAATTTATCGCATATGTGTTTTAAACACTTACATTCTTCATTCTAGTGTTTGTGTACTTAGTTCACATGTCCTTATTAACTCAGTGTGAAGAAGAACACCACTCACCCAGCAGAGGACCAAAGAGGGGAATTTGTTGTCGGTTTTATTCATTTAACTGCTGGCAGAAAGAACAGGGACAATGAAGACCTATTCCTAGCCAATTTTCTTTTCTCTTGCCTGCATCTTCAAGACTTGAGTGGCATTTCCTTCTCAATAATTCAGTGGAAACTGATAGGCGATTCAGAGCCTGTGTAATTCCTAAGATCTGTGCTCAGGGTCCTGGCCATTCCTATTCAGATAACAAACACGGACCATCTGATAAAAGCTACACTTGAGCTACAGAAAATGTGTATGTCTATCAAGTTGTTCAGACTCTATTTATACAGGGAATATTAGCCACAGTTTTTTTTCTATGTAATTTAATAGTGATCACCAACACAAGAGGAAGAGTGTTTTTGTTTTGTTTTGTTTTGTTTCCATTGACACTGGGTTTGGTATTATAAGCAAAGACAAAGAGGAGGGCCCTTTGAGTTATTGACTTCCAGGAAGGCATCATTCTTATTGACTTTGCTTGGAATCCTGCAGTCCTTTCACAGAGCAGACTCAACACATCCAAAGCCTGTATCCAGAGAGGCACAACGGAGCCAACATGCACCATTATTGCAGGAGTATCCGATACAATAGGGAAAAAATCACTAAAAGAGAGAACACTCAGCTAAGTATGTAGCTTTGATGTACAAAAATACATTTATTTTCAACAATTTCAAAACCACTGTCCTTTTTACAGTAGAAATATTCAAATGGAACAATAAAACCAAGAAGTATCCAGAGAGGCACAACGGAGCCAACATGCACCATTATTGCAGGAGTATCCGATACAATAGGGAAAAAATCACTAAAAGAGAGAACACTCAGCTAAGTATGTAGCTTTGATGTACAAAAATACATTTATTTTCAACAATTTCAAAACCACTGTCCTTTTTACAGTAGAAATATTCAAATGGAACAATAAAACCAAGAACAGTAT